ACTAGAGGAGTTTCTGCTGTTTCCACTTGCAAGGGTGATGGTAGGAATTTTTTTGTTCCCTGTTACAGGTGGACATAATACCACTGAGTGGTGTTTAGTGACTTCTGGGTTCTTCTTTTTAAACTTCTAACTATCACCTCCTGATCATGGATCATTTCTCTCTTTAAGGGCTGGTGGTGCTCCCTCAGTACCACATACAGAATTTAAATGAAAGTGGCAGAAACAGAAAAGCAGGCAGCTCTTCAGCTAACGAGAAGATGGCAGTGCTGGGCTTCCTTGTGCTCAGGACATGGACGTATGGGAATGTTCTAGCCATAGGTTATGAAACTGGTCTGAGCTTTCAGTTGAATGCTGTGAAGCAGGGGTTAGGATGGGAGATCCTCCTGCTTTGTAATTCTTCTGAGCATTCTTTATACGGGAGCACTTACCTGCTGAAAGCTGTTATTTCAATCCTTTTGCTCTGATGTGCAGGGGAGAGATGACACAATGCACAGACAGTCCCCTAAATCAGCATACCTTTGAAGCACAGACCATTGGCTACATGTGTATGTCTGTTGCCACTTTGTCCCTTAGCTGGAGGAAAAGCACCAAGGCAGGTTGTGGCAAGAGTGAGTTGCCAGTTAGTGTACCCTTAACACGCAGGCTTTTCTTTGAGTAACATCCTGGGCCCAGCTTGGGTGGCACATGTCTTCAGCTCGCCCAGCTTGCAAGGTCTGTTGTTTTCTTCCTTTTTGCTCCCATTGTCCTCTTACACATGCTTTCCTGTCATGCTTTTTACATTACCCACTTCCTGTCTCCTCCCTTCTCAAGAAGCTGTTCACTGTTACTCTAGGTTTTTTGCTTTACAAACTGTCATTCTGCATGTGCAGAACCTGCTGTTCCTAGTAGTTCTCCCTTCTATCATTAAAAGCAGCCCTCCCCCCCCAACTTGCAAGGAAAATTTCCTTACAAGTCCTTAAAGGGAAGTTTCTCCACTTCCTATATAATGTAGTAGCAGCTGAGATAATATCAGTGGGTAATTATCCACATTGTTAATACCTCAGTGTACACCAGATTAAAAAGAAGGCCATATGCTCTCCAGGAGATGCTTCTCGACTATCCAGCAGCCTTTTAGTAATTTAGGCTCCTCTCAGAAAACTGGTTTATTGTGCACAATTGCAAAGCAAACATTCATAGTCAGTGTTGCACTGGGACTACTGTAATCTGCCCCATAATTATTCATGCCGCATTTGCATTTTAATTCCTCAAGTTAAAACTGTATTTGAATAGGGAACATGAGCAGAAGCGGTGTTGATACTTTTTTCGTCATGCTAAAAATGTCTCTTTCTGTAAGAGCTGGCATTCTATACTTCTGTGATCTAGGCTAGCGATGTAGTCACTCTTGAAATGAATTCTGACTATGAAATAGAATAGGGAACACAAGCTAAGGCTTGGCTAAGAATAATTTGTTATGTAATTAGTACAACAATAAGAATAAATCAAAACCTGTGTTCTATCAAGCAAGGCAGGCTTAGGGATTCTTCTCCTGTGTTTCTTTTCCAACCTACCAGTTTAAACTGCTTGTATCTTTCAGAGTTTTTCAGACTTTTCATTCGTTTGAAAACAGCTGTTTTATTTCTAGAAAGTCGGGTGGGGAGAGAGACATTCTTGTGATCAGACTGCATTTACAACAGTGACAGCACTTCAGAAAATAAAATGGATAGCTCAAAGACCTGTACTGATTTTGGAGAAAGATCTCGATAAATCGGAGATGCAAAGAAAAGATTTGGCAAGTCAAACTGTATTTTTAGGAGGTAACAGGCTTCAGAATACGAGGATGTAGAACGCTTTGATCAAAACTGCTTTCAGTGGGAAATCCTTTCTTCTGTCACTGTCCCCTTCAAGGTAACAGATAATGTTCTTGATGGAAGCATTAAAAAAGGGAGACTTCAAAATACTGCATATGAGTCATACATAATTCCTTCACAGTTACTGAATAGTAACTTCTGGATGTTGAATCTTATAAGGTGTGCTGTGGTACTAACCAGGTATTCCATTTTATTTTCTGCTTTATTTCACTGCCCTTTGAAGCATATACTGACTCAGTTATCTACAGTAGTGTGGAGAAAACTGAAAAATAATTGTTGAAGAACCAAGAGATAATGGCTTTCAGCTACCTAACACTGGCCTGACAAACATCTGAAGTTGCTGACTCTAGTTATTCCTTCAAGTTTTTATTCTACATCTATTAATAACTCATAATCCCTTATATCTATTCTCAATTTTATTGATGAGTTCCTCATTTTTATAAATGTAAAATCACTTAGTTTTTAGTTTGTACTTCAAAATTAAATACATTTACCTTGACACCCTCAGAACTAGTGTTGCCTACGGAAAAATAGTACTTTCTTTCTGGATTAAATTAGCATAGCAAGCATCTGTCACGTCTTCTCACAGAATTGTCATTATTTTGTAGTGGGGAGAGCTTAAAACAGGTAAATACTTTGAAAATTTGGGCTTTATCATTATTTCCCTAACTTTGAGAACTGGATTATTCAGGTAAGATCTGATTATTCAGACAGTAACTTGCTATCTTCTTCCTGTTACAGAGTATTCTCTGTGCAGCAGATCCCAACTGGTGAAGCCGATTTAACAAGTAAAGGAATATGGTTGCACTTTTCTTGTTCACTTGTGATACCTTTGCAAGAATCACTAGAATTTCTAATGGTGAGCTCACTGCTGCTAGTAACACTTCCACTTAATTTCTTGGAGCAAGCTGCCCAGAAAAGCTGCTGTAGTAAATCTCCTCACATCATCACCTTGTGAACATGGCTTTTTCATTCCCTTGAACTAGCCTAGATGGGAAGACAACAACAGGTGACACCATGTACCAAACGGTGGCACCAACAGCTGTGTGGCTGCACGCTGCTCGCAGGGCCAGCTCCCCCTAAGGCTGCGACCGATGCTCTGAGATTCTTGGTTGATGTCTGCAGGAGTGTTTACAAGTTTTGTGCAGCTCCTTGACAGGTGTTAACGTCAACTGAGAAATCTGATTGCGATCTGAATTCAGGTACGGTGATAAAATAAAATTGCTCAGTCCTAGGAAGATGAATAGTTGAACTGCTTCTTTTTGTATGGTCTTGCTTAAATTCTCAATACACAAACCGGGGAGCCACATCGATTCCCTTCCAGCCCTGACATTCAACAATTCTTACAATCTGTCACTTATCTATCAAAGCTTGGAATGCCATTTTAGCAATAAAATCATACAAAGTCTTTATGGTGTCTCCCTGTCTTCACTAAAATGTTATTACTCATTCCCAAAGTCAAAATACTGTTGCTAAAATCCTTTCAGTGGCTTTTTAAAGTGTCAGTGTTTGATGGAGACTCTATTCACCACAATGCAATAGAATTAGTAATCTCATTCTACAATTTCTGCACGTTTTCCAAAATAGAGCTTTTCAGGCTTCATTTTAGGTCTGCAGGCTTCTTTCACCTTTTTTTTTGTGTGTGTTCCTCAGTCTTACTGCTCTTGGACTGCTCTAATTCAGTGTTTCCCTCTTAGCATATTAAGAAATATGCAAAGTACTGAGAGCCTTCCTGTGAGGAGTAACAGCCAGATCTCATTCCAGCCCCTGCAAGTTAGCAGACAATGAAAGTTTTTTTTCTCTGGATGTCTCTTCTGGCCACTCTTATACTCATGTATCTAAATTGTTAAAGAAATGCTATGTTAAAACAAATTAAACCAAAAAAATCTTCAGCTTACCATAGGGAAGTCATCTAGATGTCAGAGAACTAAGCAAAAATACTGTTTGTGCAGCAGGCCACCTAATATACTGTAAATACAGTGTATATCTTTAAATCATCATAGAACAAGTCAAATGAGACTCCTAAGTCTCTTTTTTGGGGTGAAGTTATGCATAATTACAAAACAATTATGCAGCCTTTAATGTCACACAGAAAAAACCTCTCAACTCTTGCAGCAAATAATTTTCAAGGCTTTAACTGTTTGCTATGTTAAAGCAATTAGTTGAGAAACACAGAATAGAGATGGCAATGTTAAGATGACAATACTGAAGTTTATTTGAATAAAAATTTAGGATTTTGATTAATTCAGCAACTCTTAGAAGCCAAGTTTACTGTTTCTGTGACTGTCAAATACACAGTCATTCTTCCAGTCTACTAAAAACTGGGCTATGCTTACTCTGGATTCCAGTATCCAGTGAACAACATTGATTATGCTCCTTGTTAAAAGTTTCAGAGAACAAAAAACGGGAATTGATGGCTGTTTGTAGTCCCCGTACCCACTGCCTGGAACCCAGCAAGCCAATTCTCCAGCTATTCATAATTTCAGAGCTTTGTTAATATTTTTTTCACAATGTATTGTTTACTGTCTTAACTCGTAAATATTTTTTCCTTCTGATCCCCAGTCCTCTGCTGCAGCTTTTTACATGGTACCCTGAGGTCTGTGGCCTGTAGCCCTACTGACATTACAGGAAAAATAAACAAGGGGTCAGAAAAAGAATGGGAAAAACAATGAAAGAAGAGGTGTTGGTAAATCTAAGGGGAAAAAAAAAAAAAGATCAGGTAGATGAGGTGTCTAACATCAGGAAAATCAGGAAAATTCTTTAATGAGAGGGTCACACTAGAACAGGCTCCCCAGGGAAGTGGTCACAGCACATCTTATTAATGTAAATTATTAATTAAAATGTAAATATCTGAAATGTTGCACACTTGCAGGTGATCTGTTCAGCTGCTGAATCTAATTGTTTGTTTCAAATAAACCCATTTCCTGATGTTCTGAAGGAAGTTCTTTCTTACTGAATCAATAATTCCTCACAGTTAATTCTAAATGCTCTTGTTTGTTTTCTGTTTAGGCATGTTGCCTGTGGAAGGTGCTACAGAAAATCAAATTAAGTTACATATGCTACCAGTCATGTGATTCCTATAATAAATTGTTCCTCTTTTTTTCATGCATTTGGGTGAAATAGCCCCACTGAATTACTCACTTTCATCCAGCAGTGCAGTTTGAGTACTTTAAAGTCTCCTAATAGTTGAAAACAAATGAACAAATTAAACGTAAAGTGTTCTTTATTAAATAACTCAAAAGGTAAAGCAAATTGTGCAATTAAGAAAGACAACATCATGGCTCCGAAGGATTTTTACAGCAGAAAACAAGTTGCGGCAAATGAGCGTTTCAGTCTAGCAGCCAAATTGTCCTCATTTTTATGGAGTTAATTTCGGTCCTCAAATTGTGACTTGTTTTTTAAAAGATATGCTGCTAGAAATTCAATGGGATTTGGTGGTCTGTAAAGAAAAGAGTCAATCAAAAGCAATTATTTTTTACTATATGAAATTAGGTAGCTGAAGAACTAATCCCCTTCACTTAAAAGCAACATAACTCCTCCAAACACTTACAAGCATTGATTTAGAGACTACCTAGAATTACCTGGTACATTTCCAGTTTATGTCTGCTAAGAAAGTTTTTAATAATAATGAGGTTTTAATAATAAGGAATTTTAATCACCTGGTTCAGTGTTACTAAATTGCTAGAACAGCTACGTACCTAGAACTGGGGTACAGTCTCTAAGCAAAAATACTGTTTGTACATGATTGGAAGTTAAATGCATTTGCCTATTTCTTTAGCCCACACTCCATAAAGTAAGAGCTAATCTGTTAGTGCTTTCTTGCTTCATTTTCTTCAAATGTTTATTGTGTAGCTTTGTGCATTAGAGCTGTTTTCATGCTTTCTGGCCACAACAAAACATCAACAAAAACTTCAAATTTAAGAAGTGCTGTAACTTGCAAGTAGGCAATAATAAACACTTTTGATCACTGGCCTTTTTCCTTAAGTTGTTTTTTTTTTAAGAAGGCTCTTTCAGCTACAGTGCAGGAATAAATGACAGTCCACAGAATAAATGACAAATTTACTTATTCCACACTGGGTCTGGCAGTGAGCAAATATGCCTATAAAGAGCATTAAAAAAATAAATAAATAATAAAATGGTGGAGGTGCAGAGAGATATTTCTCTGGACAATCTTTTTGGCTTCCAAGAACGTACTAGCTTTATGAGCTAGCAGCTTTTAACAGGCCTGGATTAATTCCTCTACAACTTTGACCACTTGCCCCTTGATCCCAAATAAAACGTTTATGTCCTCAAGCTGAGGCCAAAAATGATATAGCTTAATTATGTGACCTGTGAAGAATCAGCTCTTTTTGTTCATTATGAATTTGCTACCTGCTTTGCTTAATTTGATTATCTCTTGTCTGACAAGAGATAATAAACAATCCATCCCAATTCATCCTTACTACACTATTCATGATTTAACAGATTCCTAATTTATTCTCTTACAGAAGTCTCTTCTCTAGGTATCATTTATTCAGTGACCATACATATAGATAGCATTCTGTACTTCTAACCACTTTGCCACTCTTCTTTTTCACAGTCTACCAGAATACAGGGGAATTCGAGTTACATACAATATTAAAAAGAGTATTATAAATTTAAATAGTGATATTATGCTTGTTTTTATTCCTTCAAAGTCCTACCATTCAGAATCTATTTTTGATTGAGTAATGAACTGACATATACATTTAACAATTTAAATATATTTTTTCACGAGCAAAATTGTCAACTCAGAATCTATTATCTTGTCACTAGTGTAAGGGCATTTACTACCCTCACGGGTGTATCATTTTCTGTTTACTTGTATTCAATCTTTCACTTTTTTTTCGTAGTTTCAATTTTTCATAGCAGCATTCCATAATTTCACATCAAGTTTATGAGGTTCCTGTGCAATTATTTACAATTAATCAACTTAAAAGAAAAACGCAAACAGAAAACAAAACATAGCAAAATCAGAATCTATTCTGTAAAACTCAGTATCATTAACAAATTTAGTCAGCCACTTCTTCAAATTGTTATAAATTATCCTTTCCAGGATTCTAATGTTGAGCTCATTTCACCATGAAAATTCACCATTTAGTCCTACTCTGTCTGGTCTCTTCCAATCAATCGCTCATCCATATAAAAGCTTTTCTTTTAATCCCACAGCAACTAATTCTCTTTTAAAGCTTTTAGTGAATGACTGTCTCAGAAACCTTTTTAAAATTTAAACAGCCTGTATCATCTGGATTCCTGTTTACATGTGCTTGCTGACAAGACTTACAAGACCTGACAAAAGATGTGTTGACTCCTCCTAAATATGTCATTTATCCATTATGCTCATTATCCTAGATAATAATTTCTACTGAATTTCAGGTATAGTCATCAGATGTACTGGGCAGTTCCCTGAACATCTCTGTATTACTTAGGAAAAAATAAAAAAAATTAGCACCCATTAGTTACTTTCCAGTTCAATTTTAAGCAAAGATTGTACAGCAGAGCTGGTAGTTCAGCTTTTTCACCCCTGAGGTTTTAATGTGCTCAAACAAGTAGCCAATTTGAGCTTGGCTGTCTGATATTGTTAGTTTTTCCCCTGTAAGTTCTTCAACCTCTTTATCAATGTCCCAGTCTTGCTCGTGTGATGAGTCCCCACAAAGAACAGGAACCACTCCTTCCCCAGTGAAAAAAGGTTTGGAAAAAAAATGCTCAAGTGGGTTCTCTGGAATACCAGTATCCAGACTGTTGGTGTGGGGTATCCCCTGAGGCTGTGTTTGACATTCAGCCCGTAGCTGAACTCCTGCAGACACTGACTGATGAGCTGAGCACTGCCCAGGGGTACACACGGGGTGTGCCTTCCGAGGTGCTCTTTTGCCTAATTAGCTCTTGTACAACGCAGCTCAAATTCACAGCTCCTTCTGAGATTCAGACACTCTTGCTGTAGGTACCATGACTGTAGGCACTGTGATGTGACTATGGTCATCCCTAGCAGCATTTGATAATGTTATTTCAGCAAAACTGAGAAATGGTTACATGTGGTAGGACTCGCCAAGAGCCTGGATACCGCAAAAGGCTAGAAATTCATCTGGGTAAGATGAACAGCTGTTCATGATTATTGAAAAATACCCTTCTACGCCAACTGATAATTTGGGGCACCTTGATAGTATAACCTTTACTGAGAAAATAAACTATCAGTTTGCTTCTTACTGTGTTGACAGTGCAAGGTCAGCCTCATCCTTTAGAAAGTGTTTTAGCCTCCAACAAAGATGCATGTCAGGCCCGATATATCCATGTTTTTTTTTAAATGGCAAGCAGAACTCTTTCTAATTCCACACTACAAAAATCTTGTTCAACACTAGAATAACTTTTTGCCTTGCTTCTGTAACATGAATTATGCAATAAAATTAGTTAAAAAAAAAATTCCCTCCAAAACCCTTGCAGTAGCATACCTGTCCTAGTTTCAGCTGGGATAGAGCTATTTTTCCTTCTTAGCAGCTAGAACAATGCCGTGGTTTTGACTCAGTGCAAGAAGAATATTGATAATATACTTGATGTTTTCAGTTGTTGCTAGGAAATCAAGGACTTTTCAACTTCCCATGTTTTGCTAGTGTGCAAGAGCATGAGAAAGCTAGGAGGGACGTGGCCAGGACAGCTGACCCAAACCAGCCAAAGTGATATTCCCCACCACAGAACATGATGTTCAGTATACACACTGGGGGCAGTTGGCCAGGGGGGCAGATCACCTCTCAGATGTTGGTGAGCAGGTGGTCAACTGCACTGTGTATCACTTGGGTTTTATTTCTCTCTTTTTTGTTATATTCTTCTTCATTACAATTATTATTACCATATTTTCTTGTTATTATATTTTAGTGTAGTTACTAAACTGTTCTTATCTCAACCCAAAGTTTTGGGGTTTTTTTTCAGTTCTTCTCCCTACCCCACTAGAAGCAGGAAGGAATGAGCAGGTGGCTGCATCGTGTTTAGTTGCTGGCTGGGGTTAAACCCCAACAATACCTCACTGTGAGGTCACAAATTCCATATACGCATCTAAGTGAGAAACGCATCCTGCACAGGTAAATCAGCAATTCCTAAGTTCATAAACCTGTTGTAAAGACTTTCTTACAACTAGCAAAACCATGTATGCGAGCTCTGCAAAAGTGACATACCACCCAAACCGAGAGAGACCTACTTTCTTCCTAAAAACAGACGGCACATTGAAACATCTTACCTCTCTTTTGCAAGAACAGCGAGTCCCTGTAGCAAGATAGGTACAACTGTCTGATCCAAGTAGGCACGTGTGGGTAATGACTGAAGATCCACCTTCTGCTTTGATGTCTTCTCTGCATTTATTTTCTCATTTTCTACTATCCTCTGAAGTAGGAAAAAAAAAAAAGCGAATGAACTGGAGTAACAGCAGCCACATCTACTTTGAAGCGTGAGTGCAAACAAAGTACCCATCTCTCTGCAATTCACTAGCAATAACTTCTTAACATCTTTTAAGAAAATTAAACTGCGTATTTTTCCTTGCACAAAAACCTAGTCCAGAGAAGCCCTCTGCTGAATTCTTATGTTAGGAAGTCTTAAGTTTCCCAAAACTTATTATTTCTGCTTTTGCATTCACAGTCTTAAATTCTACACCGAGACAGGAGTGGCTTCTAACAAGAGCACCCTCAATTAAATGGTTCCTGTACACAAAATGTTAAAAGCACAAGAAATTCAGGTGAAGCCTGTTAAGCACTTTGAGACTGTTCCATATAGACAGACACTTTAAACATCTGCAAAATGCTTCCAAGTGCCTTTTGGCCAAAACATGCTGAATCACCTTACACCATTAATTGTAGTTTAAAAAGGATATACTACTACTACCAGTAAAGCAAATGTATTCAGTGCAACGTACACTAATCTACTGATACGGGACCAACATATATAACATGTTATGGCTCTGTGTGGAAGCTGAGGCATACAGACAAGCAGTTATCAGGGAGATGAGTCACAAAAGCCGCTTAAGAAAAGTTTCTGCAAGAGCTTAGTGGAGACTACAATGGAGGGAGACTGAAGGTCTATTATTCTAACCCACACTGTTGCCAGCAGCAGAGAGAACGGACTGTGTATACTCTTTCACAGCATAAATAATTAAAGATAGCTTGGATTATTCCAACCTAATATTTCTATTTCTATTTTCTATGAAAAGAATCCCTCCCTCTCACACTTCTAGAAGAATGCCATCAACCCCCTCCTATTCCTCTCCTTGTAACAGAAGTCTGGCTGGCTTTTTGTGGCATAATCTGTTACATAGATACATATAGTAGATAGTGATAGAATTGATAACAAACATAGCACATTTTCAAAGAAATCTACCTCATTAAAAGGCTCATTATTTACTTCAGTACCATTTAATATAGTGGAAGCAACACATTAAAAATACATGAACAGGAAGTTATGCAAAGGACTAGTATCTGCTGGTTCAGCTTCTATCAAACTTTCTTGGGAACACTACATTTGCCAATGCTAGACTTCCAAGTCAACATTTTCCCCATTGATTAGGAACGTGACTTCCACTGTGCTGTACAGCAACAAAATCTTTGTTACCTCTACGTTTTCAGTGAGACCATATTCAGAATGAGGATTTTCTGGAACCTGTAAAAGAGCACATGATCAGCAAAGCAAAACCACTCCATTTATGCCCGTCGCATTATGCACATAAAACACTTCTTGCAATACCTGCGGCTGTCCCTCCATAATCTGTTCTGCCTCCATGACTTGAAAAGGGGAATTTCCTGGACGTACAGTAATCCTGGAAAGCAGTAAAAAAAACCTGGTCACCGGGCTGAGACGAAGATCAGTGTTAGCTGAGCGATATTAAGGCGCAATTACTAGAGCGTGAACAAAGTTGCTCTGCGCTCCACGCACAATCGAGAGAGAATACGCTGTGCTCCACACGGAATCGAAAAGCGTCATAAGGCTCGCGTTACGTCCGCTGTAGCAAACAGCACCGGGATGAGAAAACACGGCATTCATCCTGTAAAAGTAGAGTCCCCAGCGACGGCCCGCTCCCCGGCCCCGCCCGCGGGAAGGCGGGGGCAGCCCCTCGCCTTCTCTTTGCCTCCCCGCACCGCACGCCTGCCCACC